CTTGTGTAATCCTTGTTGGATGAGCAGATCTCTCATCCTTCTTTGCCATGTTGAGAAACCGTTATCTCCGTTGAATTTTGCTACCTCGTACTTTACTCCGGACATTTTTATTTTTCACCAAGTATAGTACTACCGACAGTGAATAGTATTTCAGTGAACGAGCAGAACCTGTGCTCTGATACCAGTTGTTGGAAAATAAACCCTCTACCAAAATAATATTCACGGTAATAAAAGCGGAATAATAATGTAGCACCGAGATACGGTAATTAACAAGAATAAAAGAGTAACAATAATACCAAGATTTTTACGTGGAAAACCCTTCCGAATAAGGGACAAAACCACGACCCCGAGAGGAGTAACTGATATCACTATAGTAAGAATTTTACACTTTGTAGGCCCGAGTGAAATACTACAAACCCACTACAACACTCAAAAGAAATAATACTCTTTTGATATTTCACCTCACTACAATATCACTAGATTGTGATGATAAAAATGAGAGCCGAAGCTCTCATTTTATAGGCAGAATACAACCTACCTCATTTGACAGCTTCATCTCTGCAGCGTGTCATTTTTGACAGAAAACAAAAACGTGGGTTGCTGCTATTACCAACTTTGACAAAAGTGAGGAAGGAAGAAAATTTCTTCCTTGAAATGTGGGCTGGACCCCACAATTTGATGGAGTGGAGATCAACACAACAAACAGCTTTATAATCGAGCAATTCTTGAATGATCAAGTCAACGATAGGACCGATGAGTATGGTGGAAGCATTGAGAACCGTTGTCGACTCGCTCTTGAAATTATAGGAGCAGTAGCGAGGGAAATTGGAGCAGATAAAGTTGGCATAAACCTCTCTTTTTTATCCGAAGTATACGGTAAAAAAAACTCGAACCCAGAAGCTTTGGCGACATATTTGGCTAGTGAACTCACTAAACTCGGAGTATTATATCTTCATGTATCTGAGCCAAAGGAGCAACATCGTAATTACCTAAAATCCATCGGAAGGGCTTTTGAAGGGACTCTTATTGCTTCTGGTGGATATCATAAAACTGAGGGAAATGAAGCTATAGCTGAAAGTTATGCAGATTTGGTCTCATTTGGACGTTTGTTTTTGGCAAATCCTGATTTACCTAAACGTTTTGAGGTAAATGCACCATTGAACAAACATGATAGGAGCACTTTTTACAAGACTGATCCAACTTTGGGTTACACTGATTATTCATCTCTTGAAGTGGCTTAATTCTACCTCATAACGCTAGAGGTAAATAAAAATACGTGAATTTTTTACCGGTGTTCTTGGCGAAAAGGTCATTGAAATTGTTTTCTGACGAAAAACATTTCGATAGATTCTGTTGGAAATACGCGTGAGCAAGCTTGCTTTGTGTGATGACGATGATGATTAATTTACTAGCATCTATTGGATGTGGAGTATACGTAAATCATCTCAAATTATTATGTACTAATTTGTTTGATATTCTGTAAGCTAATCGAAGTAATTAATGTGTGGTGTAATTATGTTGCTCCTATGATTATATAATGGTAAATGGTGCTGCATGCCTTGTTTTCAGAGAAAATAAATGAAGTGAATATAATCCTACCCTTTTAATTTCTTAAACCTTTCTTATTTTTCTGCATTCTTTTCTAAATTTCAAATATATGAAATTACGTTTTATTTAAAAGAGAAAAAATCAAATCAAATCGAATCAAATTCAAACAAACTCACAAAATAAAAAAGAGCAAGTCAAACTCAAAGAAAGAAACACTTATCACATATAGATGTAACAGATTCATAGTAACGAAATCAATTGCCAAGAAGACGAAAAATTACTTATGATATATAATGTTAGCATCATATAAAGTACAAAGCTCATTAGTTTTTTTTTTTAAATGTATTACTTTGAAATTAATGCCTCTCTGAATTATTATTGCATATCTATCATCATCATCATTTCCATCTTCTCCATCAAAATCTTTTCTCATACTATTGCCAGAAGAGCAAGCCCTATAAACATAACTCACGAGATGGAAAAGATTTCAATAAAGAAGATAGAAAGTGAAGATGCTTGATACACAACTTTTAGTATTCAGAACGTATTGGCCCGACTAATTTGTACTCTAAGTTACACAAGACAACAATGAGCTTTGTGCTATATAATGCTTTACTTGACAAACCTATAATTAGGAAACGAAGACGGATGATCTTTTTATACTACTGTCCGGCACAAGAAGATAATTCTAATTAAATATTTGATTTAGAGATTAATTAATGATTTGGAAAAACCAGATTTGCATTGTATTCTAGATCCTACGGTTACCATTTTTCTGAGTAAACATGCTAATTTTTTTTCATTTTGTTTTTGTTCTTTAGAATTTTTTAGTTAAATCGTTAACGTAACGAGACATGATATCATGTTTTTAATATCTTGACATACTGAGTTTTAAAGTTTCTTATATTAGTACCAGTTAAATGTGATACCTAATGTGAATAGGCAAGTGTTTAAATGTACCTACTAAATATGATGGTTTTTTCCCTTTATGGTGAATATATGATTCTTGTCACGACCCAAAACTAATTTTGTCGTGATGGCGCCTAATGTGGTACTAGGCAAACTGACACATTTCCTAAACAAAATGATATTTTCATTTTCAGGATAATTCCAAGTTATTTTATATAAAACTTTCATAAGGAGTTCAAATCAAAACAAAAGTGCGGAAAAGAAAGCCAGACATCGGGGTCTCAGTAAGTCATGAGCAACTACTGCAAACTGTTCTGAAAATAGCAAGACTAACATAGTCTGAGAAGAATCAAAATACACTAAAGGGAAGATGAAGAAGGAGAAGAGCAGGACTGCGATCACCAGACAGCTACCTTGATATATCCGATGATCCGCTACTGAGTAAATCAACAACAGTTACCGTGTCCAGAGATGCCTGGATCTGCACACAAGGTGCAGGGGGTAATATGAGTACACCAACTCAGTAAGTAACAAGTCCAAACTACGGACTGATAGGTAGTGACGAACTTACCCTCAACAAGTAATAGAAATAAACTGTGCAAAAAAGTAGGCATGCTTTCAATTCAAGTATTCAGTTCAAACAGTAAAGTAAACACAAATCTGGACAATGTGAGGTGTAAAGCTCAGCTAATCTCTACATGCCAATGCACATAATGTATGAAAATGCACTATGTACCTCCACTCTCAAGTACTAAACCACTCGCTACTATATATGGTCATCCGGCCCAGGAAAGATCCATCCCGAAATATATACACATCACTAACAACAGTCACTCAGTACCGAGGAAGGCCATTCCAACCCTGTGGAGAAGATCCATCTCTAGGTATCAATTTCAGACGAGATCCATGTCCAGGGAAGATCCATCCCTCAATAATATCAACTGCGCTTATTTGGGTTGTGTTATAGACTCCCGGGGGGCTCCTACAACCCAAGCGCTATCTTCATCATCAACATAACCGCTGCGATGTGCAACCCGATCCCACAACTGTCACTCATAATCAGGCTCTCGACCTCACTCAGTCATCACTCTCCAGTCTCACACACAGGCTCACAATACCATAAAACTAGCCCGGAACAATGATATGATGTTCCAATAAATAACAACTGAGAATGAGACATGATATGAAATGCATGAAAAAGACTGAGTACAGAATATCAATATAATTAGTGAGATGACAGCAAGAAACAACCACTCGGGTCCCAACAGTATCGGCGTAAAGCCCTAACATAATATCTAGCATGATTTACATCTCATTTACTCAATCACATGATGAAATCACGGATATCAGCAAGAAAGAGTCACTAAACGGTACCATGAAATAAACCAGGTGTCGATTCTCACGGTGCACGCACATACGCTCATCACTTGGCATGTGCGTCACCTCATTACTAATCGCAAAACCCATAGTTCAGGGTTTCGAACCCTCAGAATTGAGTTTGGAAATGTTACTTACCTCAAACTAAGCCAAAATCTTACTCCGCAGTGCCCTTGCCTCTCGAATCTGCCTCCAAACATCCCGAATCTAGCCAAAAGCAATACAATGCAATTAATATAGGCCAAGGAACCAATTCCACACAAAAATTTACTTAATTGAACACAAATCCTAAAATTCACCCAAACCCAGCCCTGGGGCCCACATCTCGGAATCTGACAAAAATCATAAAAATATAAAGCCCATTCACTCACGAGTCCATACATACTAAATTATTAAAATCCGACTTCATTTGGTTCCTCAAATCCTCAAATCAAACTCTTCAAAATCCCAAGCTCTAACCCCTCATTTTCACCTCTATTTCCACTAATTAATTAATAAAACAACGAAAAAATGCCATAGATAGGAGTATTAGAGCTCAAGCAACTTACCTTACTAAAAATTCCTTGAATCTCCCTTAAAAATCACTCCAAAAGCTCCAAAACCATCTTAAAAAAATGGTGGAAAATGAACAAATTCGCGAAGTCTTCAATTTATAGGTTCTGCCCAGCAAAATCGCATTTGCGGTAAAATACACGCTTCTGTGACGTCGCACCTGCGAAAAATCCATCGCAGGTGCGGATTCCACTTACTCCCTCAATATCCGCATCTGCGATCAAAATATCGCACCTACGGACCCTGCCCGCTTCTTCGATCATCCATCCCCATGCGTCTTTCCGCATCTGCGCTCCAATACCGCATATGCGATCTCGCAGGTGCGCTCCAAATCTCGTACATGCGCTTCCAGTCCACTGCATCCTTGGCCCCATCTACGGCTCCTTCTCCGCATCTGCGGGCTCGCACCTACGGTTCCCACTCCGCAGGTGCGGTTATGACAGCTGAGTTCAACTTCAGCAAATCCCCCAATTCCAAACTTGTTCCGTCAATCACCCGAAATCAACCCGAGGCCCTTGGCACCTCAACCAAATATACCAATATGTCCCATAACATCATACAAAATAGTCCAATCACCAAATCAGCTCGAACAACATCAAAAACACGAATTACCCTCGGATTCAAACCTAAGAACTTCTAAACTTTCAAATTCCACGTACGATGTCGAAACCTATCAAATCACATCCGAATGACATAAAATTTTGTACATAAGTTAGAAAATGACACTACGAACCTACTCCAACTCCCGAAATTCCATTCCGACCTCGATATCAAAATTTCTACTGTCGACCAAAATTGCCAAAATTCCAACTTTAGCCAAACCATGACTAATTCCACCACGGACCTCCAAATCCCATTTCGGATGCGCTTCTAAGTCTAATATCACATAACAGAGCTAAAATAACCATCAAAATTCAAATTCGAGGTTGTTTACATATAAGTCAACATCCGATCAACTTTCTCAACTTAAGTCTTTACAAAAGAGACTAAGTGTCTCAAAACATTTCCAAAACCACTCCAGACCTGAACCGACTGACCCAACATATCATAATATATCCAATGAACACAAAAAAGAAGAAAAAATAGGGAAACAGGGCTATAACTCTCAAAATGATTGACCGAGTCGTTACAATTACCTAATATATATTTGAACATATTATTGGATAGACTCGATTTAGGGTTTCAAAATGTATGAACTATGAACTCAAATTTTAAAAGAGAAACTAAAGGATGTAAATTTGGATAGTTTTTGTGCTTTTCAGCTTCTCGCTACTAAGAGACAATGAAATTGAGACATTCTTTGTGTTTTCCTCTATTTTCTCAGCAGTGCATGTGTTCCGATACTATTTTAGATTCAAATGTTGAACATTTTCAACTTTTACATAGTTGTTTACCGTGAAAATGGTAATAACAATTAAATTTTTTGATGGGACTCTAAAATACGTAATCTATTTTTATGCTAGTTGTTTATACAGGTGATGCTAGATATGTGAAGATAAAAAATGAAATGCGAGACTAAAGTAGAGTATAACCAAGTCGAGGGGTCAGCTACTCGGGCCTCGGACTGATCGATGAGGGGCCTCGAGGTCGATGCCTGGGCTCGGGCTCGAGATATCGGGGGTATTCGGGAAAGGGCTAACAGTTACGATATAATTAAGGGAGGCTCTTTATGGCCAATGACAAGCAATAAATGAAGAACAAGTATGCAGGCAATTAATGTGAGCAATGATACCAAGAGAATATTTTAGAGAGAAAAGAAAGAGTTCTTGTATATTTCGTGTAGAATAGTTGGAGCAATAATAGCCCCTACAAAATGGTAAGGATCCCTTTTGTATAGGGAGTTCCAAGACAGTGCAAAAAGCATTAATTACAAAGATATAGAGATGGGACGGCTAGACGCGAGACCCTAATATAGATACTGGGCAGGCCGACTTTGTCAGACTTAGCCGTGTGCCCTAGGAACTCCCCATTTTTGCTCTAGCTTCGAGCGACATTCCCTTTAGGTCGGGCCCCGACGAGCTTCGAGGGAGGGAACTCGGTCACAACTTCACGTCCTCGAGGCCTCGAGGTGTTCTTCTGAAACGAATTAGTAGCAACAAATTGGACCCTCTGATTTCGACGCATATAGATAGTCTTCGCGTTTCCTAGAACGAAGCGATGGGAAACGATTCTGATACCTGACTTCTTGGGCTTTCTGTGACGGCGTCATGCCGATGATGTAGC